GTGATAGAGTGGCAAACCTCACCTTTGGCCATTCACCTCCACCATTGTTTACTTCAGAGCTCATCTGGAATCTTTGACATGCTAATGCTCAGCCCAGCAATACAGGCAATAAATATTCAGGCAGAGCCGAGTACTTGTTTCACCTGCCTGCATATCATGTTAGCCTCAAAAACCTTGTTCCCTTCACCCAGCTTGCGTAGACTGCGTGTAGTTCAGCCCGTCATTGGCAGTACCACTTTGAAGAGGGCTTTTGTACCTGCTGCATGGTTTACAGGTTATATTGTGTCTTGGGAAACCTTTCTTGGAGTCAGGTTCAGGACAAGCTATGTCTTGTCCTGCAAAACAACTCAGAAGTACTAGTGAAGACTTGAGTGGTAATGGGGATTCGGTTCACAAGGCAGTGCTAGTTTGGCTAGGCTGATGGTTCCTATTCAACAAGTTGTGGCTGAGGTCTGTTGCCCTGGCAGTCAGGCACAGCCACATGACAGACACAAGCTGGTTCTTTGTCCAGCTCCTCATGTTCACCTTGCAAATCCCTACCATCGCCACTGTCACTAGCCATTCCCTTCGCCGACGGTCCTTGCAGAGGAGACAAGTAGTGAAAAGAGGTTAGAAATGCAGGTGCCTCCTGGGGAGACGTGTGTGTGGAGGCGTGTACTGGCAAGGTCTGTAGGAAGAGAGAACCTCTGAGCCTCCATGGATATAGAAGGGCACATGCCATGGCACGGGACTGTGCCACAGCCTATACTCCAAAACAGGGCTTGTTCAGAAAGCCCTGGGAACTGCCTCTGTCTCTCCTCCTTATTTCACAGTCTCTCCTCTCTGTGGGCAGTTTTGGGATAGAGCTGCCCCTTCGCAGAAGGGGATGGCTAGCAGCTGCTTTGCTTGAGAAGCCACAAGGTGCAGGGCTAATGCCCTCTACCACCCAAGGGCCAGTTGTACTCAATACAGTAGCTCTCGCAGGTCAATGAAGGGTTGCCACAGTCGATAGGACAGATGTGCCTGTAGCAGCAAGACAGATGAACTTTTTGTCTGGCATCCACCTTTTCTTTTTTTTTTTTGCCTGTTTTTGATATCCAGAAGATGTCAGTGTCCCTTTGAAGCAGAGACACTCCCACTTCAGTGCTTGTTACTCCTCTATTTAACATGTGCTTAGCGACCGAGATGGCAAATCTGGCTGCAGGACCAGCAAGAACATCTCAGCTGTCACTGACTCGGGAGCTTTTCTTTGTGTTTATAGACTTGCCCCTGAGGGCTGCCTGGGCCCCGTGTCTGGTGTGTATGGAGAGATGTGTGTTAGTGGGGGTCCTCACTAGTTCTTTGTGGCTGGACCAAAAGTACTGAAGGTGTCAAGATAGAGATTGCTAGGGAAGTCCTCAGTGAAGCCTGAGACTGCGCAGAGGCACAGAGGTCTCACACAAAAGAGATCACAGAGGGCTGCAGGAAATGCGCGGCCTCCAAAGCGGCAGCTCTGCTCCCCTGGGGACTGCAGCGACAGAAGGAACAGCACGTACGAGGTTGGTGGGCTTCAGCCAAACCACAGAGACATGGGCTATGGCCACACCAGGGTGCTGATCCTGTCTCCCACTGCATCGCCATTCATAACGTGGGATCTGTTTAAATCTGCTTCCCTTTGAACAAAAGAGCCAGAGTAGTTCTTCACACTTGAAAGCAGCAGATTGGGGCTGGTGCTGTTTCCTACATGAGTGTTGAGAGGCAATTCCCTAGAGCAAAATAGAATCCAGGAAAATAATAGTAATGGTGATTCATTTGTCTCTGACATCTTAGTATCCAGCGGTGCTCCAGTGACCTGTTGCCATGTTACTATTATGCTCCGGTTCTTGAATGGATTCCACAAGCTGCAAGCTTTGGGCCATATTCACCTTGCTAATCGTGTGACTTCCTTGCTCCCTTACAGACTCTGGTATATAAATATGCACATTATCACCTGCGGATTCATCATCTTCAGAGCCCCAAGAACTGCAGAGTTTCACAATGCCTGCTCAGATGATTACTTTACAAGGCCAGCACATTCAGCCAGTATTTAATGGTAGGGTGGTACAATGCCATATATTTTAAAACGGGGCTCGAGGAAGGCAGCTGGAGGGCAGGGTCTGTATCTCTGGCTGGGAATGGGCTCACCCTACTCTTACTGCCAGCAGGATTTAACCACGTTTGGTACAACAGAGCTGAGCACGCTTGTCCTTCGCTCCACTTGCAGCTAAGTTGCATTCGGAGTAAGTTCAGTTGCATCAGTTAATGGCAGAATAAACCACTGGACCTTGGCAAAGGCTTTGCTGCTTTGGAGAGCCATGAATCTCCGTGTAATGCAAAATCCATAATATTCATAGTGCCTTACTACCTGTCTCACAGAGAGACCTTGTCCAGAACAACCTATTCATCAGAATCTGAAATAATGGTTTCTCTGTCCACGTCTGACTTGATAAACCACAAGTTCCCTTAGCTCAGCCTGTAAAAAGTACTTCCATGATCACAAAAGCAGATCCTTTGCTAATAAAATGTATCCACTGCATGAAGTTAATTCTCGTTTCACTGAAGTGCTATAAAGCAGCAGGAGGCTTCTGTTGGCACATGTTTTAGAACTAGGAAAACAATGTGTGTAAAAACCCTGATGTAAATCCATTGCTTTGGGGGAAAAAGTGCTTTTCCATGATAGTTTACCATCGTTTACATTATAACAGGCTCTGCACAAGGGAAGCTACACTCATCCCAAAATAATAAATAAACCAAACCAGTGTAGGCAAGTTCAGGATCCAGCCAGTGCTGAGAAAGATGGAGCAGCCTGACATGGCGGGCGGTGGCTGCGTACCGGCAGCCTTGAGTTCTCCTCAAAACTCTGTCGTTCTTTTCAGTGCAGTCCCTGGCCGACACCGAAGTTTGAGCCACAGGCATCTATGCTTGCCTTTAGTGTCGTCGTGAGAATCGGTCCATCTTTGTGCCGGCAAGGTGCTTGGAGGATACGAAGCGCAAAGGTGTTAGTGGGGAGGGCAAGGGGTAGCGACACTCCCCAAATGCAGATCCTTTTGTCTAAAAGGAGCAAGGGGACCTTACTGTACGTCCCCATCGAATTAAATGTACCACAGACATGGCTTTCCTTTAGCATCCTAGTCATCCTGAGGCATTCTGCTCCTGAGATGTCCACCTTGAAAAAAAATGGCTTCATTCAATACAAGTTAGGAGTTCCCCCTCACATCTGTCTGATCCAAAGTGTTTCTAGTCAATGAGAGTGTTTCCATTTACGCCACGTCCATAGGAATCATTTCGATCCTGGTTTTCCCCATGCGTTTTTGCTCTGCTTTATCTTTGGGTCCCCAGAAAGCTTTCCCTTCCACAGGATTTCATTTCTAACTTTGTTTAAAGAAAAACGAATGGCGATTTCTTTTACTTTCTGTTTGCCACAGGAAGGTTTATTTTGCTTAATTGTTTGGATTTTTTTTCTAGTTTCTGTCCTGGATTATTTAGTACTGCTGGATGCTACAAAACTGGTGTGAACTTCAACCTCTGATCTGGTTGTGTTTTGACGGTGAATACAATATAAAGCATGAAAGCTGTGATGAAAAAGTAAGTAGTTATTAAATTATATTTATCTTCATATTCTCTGCTGGTTTTAAGGTCCACCTGTGCGGACAACCCTTTTCTTTGGTGGTTGCATCAGGTTTTAATTTGTTTCCAAGCTCCTTAGACCTAAACTCAGCTACTCCAGCCCTGTGAGTAATAGTGTTTGCTAATCCATGGTATTTTGCCATTTTCTTACATCAGGAAATGTCACGTTGCGTGATAACCGTCCACAGCCCCAGCGCTGTCATGATTTTTGTGAAATCTTTTGCTTTTGCTCGGCGCCCTGCTCGCGGGGACTTTTCTCCCTGTGGCAATACCGCCGGCGGTGTCCCAACGGGCTGTAGCAACATCCGAGCCCGGGCCGCGTTGGGGGAACGTTCAGGGGAACTTTTCACCCCTCGTTCGGCAAAGCGGCCCTCGCCTTTTGCAGCCCGTCGCCCCGAAAAC